TCGCGGTTCAACGCCATCTATTATTGTGAATAGTAAGATTTTTTTTCTACTGGCTAACATGTTATCCCTATATTTGACTACATCATATCATGTCTCAGTGAGTCATTAGATTAGAAAAGAAAAATGCATACTACTATCTCTTTTAAGTGATGAAAACAGGATATTACTAAATGAAGATCATAGAAGACAAAAAGATGCCGAAAAGGAAATGCTTGATAAGTGAAGAGTTAGATATCACTATCATCATCGATCAAAAAGTTTGACGAAAAGTAGTCTAGACTAAACAAAAGATAAATAGATATCGATCTCTTCCATGTAGGACTATAAATAGCGAAGCAGTTCATGTATTCACTCATTCGACGTCTTCGTTTCCTGCCATCAATATCGACAGCGTTACTTCTACGATACAATTCTCTACAATACGTCTTGTTCTTTCTTTTTTTATATATCGTCCATCCGATCAAAAACATGGAACATAACTTCTGATTTATCATTACTGATTTACCAATAAATATTTTGAAAAATATCGACAAAACTCATGCACATTGAATGATCAAATTGTACAATTATATACGAGGGTATTTATAATCGATCCAGTGTGGAATCCGATCCTTTTTGGAGACTGTAGTAAATAAAAATAAAAATAAAAATAAATGCTTAGTCTCATATTGGATCATGTTGAGAATGAGTATTTTTAAATATCGATAGGTATCGATTAAAAGTTTGGCACCATTAATCAATCAGTTACATGGTTTAAGAAATAATTATTTTTGCTGCATACAGAACAATTGAATCGCTTTTTTTTTTGTCTGTATGATGAAACATCGTCAAACTTCGATGAGATGTGAAAAAAATAATGCTAACAAAGAAATTTGAGAAGTCGATAGACACAAATGAAACATATCAAACACAAATTTTCCGAATAGAAATTCTGAACAGATCAATAGTTTCAACCAGAATGCAAAGAAGAAGTTATTCCAACTTTCATTTTCAAAAACAATAACGGAATCAAACTCAAACATTTGATAAAACGATATCGATCTATCAATTTAAAAGGATGAATGAAAAAAAAAACATTTATTCAACATTGATTGATAGTCAGTTCTATAAAAGTAACATGCTAGAGAGCATCATTGTCAATACAAATTCTTAGAAATTGTTCAATTTGATAGTAAATCAAAAAAAGGAAATATATGATGAATTTCACCCTACTAAAGTACCACATAATAGAAAGATTCCACAACAAAAAATTCAATTATAATTTCTAAACAAGAACTTCATTAACTGAGTATTTTTCTATACCGGGTAATTCGGACAGAAAATACTAAAGAAAAAAAGTCAGAATAATGCGAGTTCATCCATAATCGTACTTAAAATAAACAAAATGCCATCACAAATATCTATTGCAGATAAATGATCATTTTTCAAGACTAGATAAGAAATAGAACAGGGAATAATCTTTATATTCAAACATAATCATTCATTTCTTTAACATTTGAACTATTGTTTATCAATTTGAACTGATATAAACCTGTAAAATTTCAAAAAAGTTATACAAAACATCAAGAATCGAAGATTATTCATGTTCTAAGATTATAGCTGCTATTATATCAAGTAAAGATGTTATCTTTTATTAATTTTGATCATTTTATCGATAAATTTCCTATTTCTCGAAATAATAATTTTTATCTCGATAATATAAAGGTAAGTCATGTTCGTTTTTGTTCAAATCAGGGCAAATATCAATTTAATTTAACGAATAGAGTAAGATTTCATTTAAAGAAATGAAAGACATATCACAGTCGATTTGGTGTTTCCATTTAAAAAAAAAATGGAAAAATTCTTTCGAAAATTTTTTTCATTTTGGGACAAAATAGATGTGTTAGTTGACTCTTCGAACAGAAGAAGAAGTTTCGTCTTTCTTTTCATTAAATTTTGATTTTCAAATAAAATTCAACAAAAGCGATATCATTGACAGCGATCATAACGTTAAGAAATGAACATTCGATATGCAGAAACAATTTCTTCTGCAAATAACGATGCATCTTATGTAATATTCAAAAAAAAAAGAAAAACCAAATCTCTTTATTATGAATTTGATCAATTATTGATTATTCTTTCCTTCTTTCTTCCTCATTTTTAACATTTATTGATAAAAAATATTCATTATTCCAACATAACTATGAGATTCTATCGTTAACTGTTGAATTATTTTATTACCTTATCATTTTTCATCTCACAGTAACATAATTAAGGTTTTTCTTTATTTTCATCGTTTCTTTCTCATAACGTTAGTTTACTTTATCGATTCGAATGATACATTCGGCTGCATTTGTTTTAATAAGAAATCAGTTCGACAATTTCACGAGTTTTAGTGTATATTTATCGATCATATGTGTTATAGTATATGAACTTGAGTATGATTTTTTTTATATGACCTCAAATACGATATCGCGATGAACATAATAAAAGTGAAAGGTTGAAAAAAATCAAAAAGTTAGTTTTTTTTTAATTGACTTAACGTGATGAATAACGATCTTTCGTTTACCTTCTTCCATTCAAAAAAGTCGGCACATAAAAAGTCAAACGTTTCAATTTTTTCTGATCTCATGCGTTTATTGACATCTGTCGATTGTCTTTTGATATGTTCTTGAATTCTATTTTGAGAAATACGATATTGAATGCATTCTAATGATTAAAAATTAAGAATGGGAAACTTGAATAATATTATTTCATTATATATCTTTTTCACGAATATAATCATGTATATCTTAAGAGTTCAAACATATTGAAATCGAATTTTCTTCGTCTATTTTTACGATTGATTATGACAGATTGACCATTTATCTTAATTTAAATATCCGAAACGACCATACATATAATTGTATCGACCAGTTTTTATGAAAAAATCTGTCTAATGAGAAAATGATCGCACATCCTATTTGTATATTGCATTTTATTTTATTTTTATATTTCATTATCAGTATCAAACCAAGCAATGATAGTTATTTAAAAAATTGAAAAACGTCTTCTTTAAATGAAAAATCATATTGTTAGCAAGATAAGGAATTAATTTATGACATCTCATAAATATTAGATAGATAGGATAAGATATATGATCATTACGCAACTCCTTGAATCGATTCATGTTTTTATTCGATCATCCCATAATAAATCATATATACTTTGACAATAATCATGTTTTATCTGAAAAGATAAATCCATGACTTATCATGCAAATATATGCATTACATAAGATGTTGACGTTTTTGTTGTTTTCAAATATCGGAATGTCCGTTTTTTTCAAAAATTTTGAATTTGATTGCTCATATATATAGCTGAGAAGAATGATCATTACGCTGTTAGTGTTCTTTTTTTCAACATTGGACGACGTGCTATTTTTCCACGAGAATTAAAAAGAAAAGAACTCTTTTGAATACGGAAAAATGCAACCAAAAATTTGATTTGATACATGTTAACTTCTTCTATGATCTTCATTATAAGATGGAACATTATGTAGATAAGCTTCTACCTTCACATTACATTAAACCTAAAGAAGACCATGGAAAAATCTAGAACTCAAATGGAAATCTAAAGAACAGATGATACTGCATTTTTTGTATTTATCGATTTAATAGTATACAAAATTTGTTCAAAACCAATATGCATACTTTAATCTTGAAAAAACTTTTTAATAGAAATTTTGAAACAGTTCATTTTCATGAAAAATACTCTATCTTTTAGATTATCATATAGATACGAAATATGGACAAACAATGCGTTTTCTGCACTATGTTGTGTGCAAGTTATTGTTGCACACAATGTAATCAAATGACTCGTAGTTTAAAATTTGAACGTTTACTTCAGCGTCTAGAAAGATGCTCTGAAAATGTCATGTACCGCGATAAAATCAATTCTGTTGTACAGCGAATTAAACAAGTGAGTATATTCAAATGACGATTTAATTAAAAATTAAAGGTATTTTAGATGGATTCAATTATGAGACCATTTCAATTTTATCCGACTTATGTTTTTGATGAAGCAAAGCATAAAATAGATGTGGTCGCTAAGGAATACCTTCAAAAAGCGAGTGATGACACACATCATCTTGTTCCTATTGACGTTCCTGGCGATGGACATTGTTTATATCATTCTATTGTTCTTTTGATGAACAATCCATTAGTGACGGCCACTGAATTGCGAGGTATTGACTTTTTCTTTGATGTTACGCTAAATTTAGTTTTGAAAATTTGTTTAGTTCGAACGGTTATTGAACTTATAACCAATGAAAACTATTACGATACCATGTATTCACAACATGCAGGAACTACCGATATTATTATTCAAGCAGCTTGCAGAAAGGGAATGTATTCTGAATTACATGAAATTGCTGCATTATGCAATGTACTACAATGTAACATACGAAGTGTTTATCCAAAAATTGATTTTCAATATTATAAGGCAATTTGGGAAAGCGTCTTTACACCTATTCCACCTGTTATTGGCAATTGTAACATTGCAATCTTATGGTCAAACACTTTGCACGAAAAAGATGCTCGAGAAACGTATAATGACACATGGAGACCAAATCATTTTGTTCCACTTCTGTCGCCACCTATTCTTAATGAATTTAGTAGTCAATCAGTGTCACTTGTTGTAGTAAGTTAGCTATTTGTAAATATAAAAATCAGAACCTTGAAACTTTTCTCTAGACTCCTGAAAAGAAGACGTTCAAGAACAATGCAGTTACTCAAATAAGAGTACCTGAATTTCAGTCTTCTCTGAGTAGACGATTACGAAGTGAAGACAACAGCGGAAATGATTTCGTTCAAACAAATGTTTCAAGTACAATGGAAAAGGAAAAGGACGATAAGGAAGAATGACGTCAAATTCAACTTCAGAAGAAAAGCGAACGAAGCCGATCCAGTCGAATGAACGAAACAGAAGAACATCGACAAATTCGTCTACAGAAAGAGAAGGAACGAAGTCGCGCGAGCCGAATGACTGAAACAGAAGAACAACGACAAGTTCGACTTGAGAAGATGGATGAAAGAAATCAATCGAGTCGAGCAAATGAATCCGAAGAGCAGCGTCAAATTCGACTTGAGAAGATGAAAGAAACAAATCAATCAAGTCGAGCAAATGAATCCGAAGGGCAGCGTCAAATTCGACTTGAGAAGATGAAAGAAAGAAATCAATCGAGTCGAGCAAATGAATCCGAAGGACAACGTCAAACTCGACTCGAGAAAAAACGAGAGCAAACTCAACGTACACGAACAAATGAATCACGAGAACAACATCAGATCCTACTCGAACAGCAAAAGAAACGAAGTCAAGCAAATAGAACTAAAAAGAAACATGAAAATGTTGGTAGCGGAAAAAACTATGTTCGCTCACCTTGGCCTGAACCAATTGCTCGTGATTTAAAAGAAACTCGTTTGCAGCAATTTTTAGAACAGATGTCTATGTCAAAATTGGCTGAAGCGACTTGTGCAGTTTGCAATGTCCGCACTCCAGCAAAAGATGCGAAAAAAATACCCATCTCTAAAATTCCTAATATTGATTTGCTTAAAGCTTCTGAAGAACTCAAAACTTTAATTAAAAATTCAACTGAAAATACTGCCACTCTCATCGATGATAACAATACACATACGACATCACATATTAAAAGTATGTAGAATTAAATTGATTCAGAAAATTTACAGAATTGTTTTTTTTAGATCAGTCAAATTTTGGTTTGTCATCTTTCTACTGCGAAAATGATATTATCTTGTACAAAAATGGCTTATTTGAAAAAAACAGAGTGAATATGTGTATTCTTTGTCAAAAATGCCATAGTTCTCTTTCAAAAGAACAAATACCGAAGTTTTCAGCTGCGAATAACATGTGGTTAGGTGATATACCTACCGTATTACAAGGGTTGACGATTCCAGAAGAAAAATTAATATCACTCTATCGTCACAATAGCTGTATAATAAAACTTTAATCACCTTTTCATTCAACTACAACTGCTCAAACAGCATTGAAAGGAAATTGTATTACCTTCCTTCAAAATGTACCAAATATTGTCAATAGTTTGCCACTTACACTTGCTGATCTTTGTGATACACTTAAAGTAATTTTTATTGGAGCTCGGCCACCTGATCGTCTTCATCTTAGAAAAGTTTTAACAGTGCGTAAGAAAAAAATTATTGAAGCATTACAATGGTTGAAAAAATATAACATACTTTATCAAAACATCAATATAAATCTCGATAATATTGCTCAATTACCAGAAGATGATGTACCAGAGTGCATCATGTCAACTTTAGAACAAAAGATAGGCGATGAAGAAGCTCAATCCGAAAGAACTGGATATGTTCCTGATCCATTATTGAATCCCAAAGAACTCACTACTGCAGATGTCATACCTATCAGTAACAGGTAAGAGCAATTGATAAATCAATGAATTCATATAGCTTCTCTATTTTAGTGGTGTTCTTGATGTTAATGGCTCATCAGTATCATCAGATGAGATTACTAATTACTTTTTACATAAAATAAAAACAAATGATCAAGCAGTTACTGAAAACGTTTACTTAATTCCACATTCATCGAAACCTGTCAATGAATATTTCAATCCAAAATTATTAACTGGTTTATATCCAACTTTATTCTGTTATGGACGAGGAGCACCTGAAGATCAATCACGTCCAATTGAAATCAAATTTAAAGAACACATACGTTATCTGTTATCTTATAATGATCGTCGCTTTGAAACAAATCATAGTTTCATATTTGTAGTATTCAACTTATTACAACGACGTGATGCTTGTTTTCATGCTCAATTAATCGCAACAAAACCATATTTTCAAGCATCAGCTAATGAAATTCAATCAATCAAAAGCAAAGATATTGAAGCGGCTCTTGACAACAATACCAAAAGAACATACAATACAGAAACAAATAGTGCATTAAATAAACTTTTACAACATATAAAAACTGTCGGTGGTCGAGTTATGGGATCAGCATATTCAAGAACAGCTTTACGTACTCGTATACATGCACTTATTTTTAACCAAGGTTTACCGAGTATATTTCTTACAATAAATCCAGCTGACATCCATAGTCCTGTAGCATTATATTTTGCTGGTGTTCAACTCAATCTTGATAAAATTCAAAATGAACAACTTATGGATACTTATCGAAGAGCCGAAATTATAGCATCTCATCCAGTTGCTACTGCCAAATTTTTCCATGTATTGATCAGCAATATCTTGGAAACTATGATAATGGGTGGAGTTCTCGGACCAATAAAGGCTTATTTTGGTACGGTCGAAAGTCAAGGCCGAGGTTCACTTCATTTACATCTTCTTATTTGGCTTGATCATGATATGAAACCAACTGATATGAAAGAAAAAATTCAAGATGCTACTTTTCGTAACAAGTTAATAGCATATTTAGAAGATATCATCAAAGAAGATTTAGATGATTTCAAAGAGAAACAAGTCATCGAATCTTCTGACGGTATGAAATATATTTATTTTATT